ATGGATATCTTTGAGAAATGGCTTTCTTCTTGCCACTCTTCCATAAAGGCCAGATTTGTGCAGTGTACGACTGATTGTTGTCCTATGGACAGACTCTCCCACCTCAGCTGTAGATCTCTGCAGTTCATCCAGAGTGATCATGGACCTCTTGGCTGCATCTCTGATCAGTCTTCTCCTTGTTCGAGATGAAAGTTTAGAGGGACGGCTGGGTCTTGGTAGATTTGCAGTGGTCTGATACTCCTTCCATTTCAATATGATTGCTTGCACAGTGCTCCTTGGGATGTTTAAAGCTTGGGAAATCTTTTTGTATCCAAATCCGGCTTTAAACTTCTCCACAACAGTATCTCGGACCTGCCTGGTGTGTTCCTTGGTCTTCATGATGCTCTCTGCGCTTTGAACAGAACCCTGAGACTATCACAGAGCAGGTGCATTTATAAGGAGACTTGATTACACACAGGTGGATTCTATTTATTATCATCAGTCATTTGGGACAACATTGGATCATTCATAGATCCTCACTGAACTTCTGGAGTGAGTTTGCTGCACTGAAAGTAAAGGGGCCGAGTAATATTGCACGTCCCACTTTTCAGTTTTTTATTTGTTAAAAAAGTTTGACACATCCAATAAATTTCATTCCACTTCACGATTGAGTCCCACTTTTTGTTGATTCTTCACAAAAAATAAAAAATTTATATCTTTATGTTTGAAGCCTGAAATGTGGCAAAAGGTTGAAAAGTTCAAGGGGGCCCAATACTTTCGCAAAGCACTGTAACAATGAGGAGAAATCACTGGGAAGAAACAAACAAGAGACTGAAAGTGCAAAAAACACTGAGGACCAGAAACCATGAAAACAAACACACAGAGCTCACACTCGCTGCGAACAGAAATGAATTTCTGAGTAAACGTTTGGAGAAGTGAGATTTCTCAGCTCATAAATTTAGATACATTTATGTGAGCATACTAAAGAAAGACAGTCTGGTCACTTTTAAGGTGATGTTCTGTCAAATAGTTATTAATAGTTAATACTTTGTGGCTGTGACATCAGTTATAGAGCCATCACATGCTCTGTTAACTAACAATTTAGGGGAGTGGTGGCACAGAAGCTAAAGAAGGTGGTCCAGTGATCAGAAAGTCTCTGGTTCAATTCCCTGGACCAACAACATCAAAATGTGGGTGGTAAAGGTGAAACACCCACACCTGCCCCACCCTGGGCCCCTGAGCAACATCACCAACCCCTACCATCTGCCCCCAGGTCCCTTTTGCAAATGAGTCCTCGTGACTCAATGAGACTGCCTGTATAAATAAAGGTTAAACAAAGCAAAAAATATTTTAATTCAGTAAAACAGAGGAAGCCCCAATTACCTTAAAAAATATATTTTTTATTTTATTAATTTATGAATGTGCCTTTGACTGATGTAATTTTTAATCATTAATTTTTTTCACATGTCCTTTTATGCTTCAGGATTCTTCACTTCTTAGCATGAAGTAAGGGCGGGTGATGCAGTTGGTAGAGCTGCCACCTCTTAGTGAGAAGGTCACTGGATCAAATCCTAGCTTGGGGGGGGGGGGTGTTAGATGGAGTTTGCATGTTCTCTCTGTGCATGCGTGGGTTTTCTCCAGGTACTCTGGTTTCCTCCCACAGACCAAAAACATGCATGTTAGACTGATTGGTAACTCTAAATTGTCCCTAGGTGTGAGTGAGAGAGTGAATGGTTGTCTCGTTTGTCTCTATGTGTCCCTGTGATGGACTGGAGACCCGTCCAGGATGTCCCCCGCCTCTCGCACAGTGATGGCTGGATATGGGCACCTGTGACACCCATGACACAAAAAAAGAAGAAGCGGATAAAAGATAATGGATGGACGGATGGATGGATATTTACATTGTTTTTACTTGATTTGAACCCTGGACATAATCCTAAAATTGATCAGGACACCTCTTTTTTCTCAAATTTATAATTTATGATTTGACAGCAGGATGTGATGTGTCGGATATTGTTAGTAATTTTATTAAAATGCATACATTTTATCTACAAAACACGGCACAGTTTTTTTGTTGTTGTTTGTTTTTGAATGTCCAGAGGACCAGATTTAACTTTTTTAGACAGCACAGTATTCTTTGATTGTAGTACCGATGCTGACCAATAGGTGGCGACATAAACAACTGCAGAGCAGCGGTTTTCTGTCCCAGGGGTGCCTGCTTGTTTCAGATGTGTTTCAAACTGTTCGCGCTTGTTTTGTCAAAACAGTTTTACTCGAACATTTTCACTACAAACTGTTGACTTTGCCCATTAGTGTGTAATTATTGTTCCAGACATGAGCACGTGGATTTGTTTAACGGGGTGTTTAATTAGCGTTGGGATGGGTTGGGTGCATGAAGGACTGTAGTTCACCTTCCTCTCCTCTAGGCAGCGCTAAAATAATTCTGCTTTCTGTCGTTAACATGTACATAATGTCGAGCCAACGAGTTTTATTAGACTCACTAATAACGAATATATGTCTGTATCAAGTCAGAATAGTTATTTAAATGTCTCTGTGAAGAAGGTTTGATTGTTTACCTTGGATGTGTTTCTCTGTTCTCCTATTGGACCAAAGTATATCACGTGTTCTGAAAGTTTCCGGTGGCTGTTCTTTTAAACCTTAGTTTTATTTGAAAGCGCAAAAAAAAACCTTAAGAATACATAACCTGTGATTTTATCGTTACTGATGAAAGTAAGAGAGAAATGTGTTGCTGAGGCACAAAATGTAAAGTTTAGTTACTGAACCGTGAGTGAGAGTGTGTGTGGGAGTGTGTGTGGGCAGAATGACCATGTGTCCTACGCAATAATCATGTTATCGCTTCTCGGCCTTTTAGCTAAGATCATGTGTAGTATATGTTCTTATTAGTTTAATATCTGATACGTCCCCCACCCGGGGACCATACATTAAATTGATTTTTGGAACAGGGAGAAGGAATAGGGGCTTGCTTCGTCCACTCCACGCATCGATCTGGTATTGCAGTATCTCCAGAACTGGAGCACTCCCACTCTGTCAAGTAAAAAACATAATACACGCCATAAATCCAATGCTCTCTATTATATGATAAATATAATGTATACATGACTTAAGTGGGTTAAAAGCTAGTGTACTTAATCTATTTATTTTACACCATATGAGGTTCTTATGTACTGAAACTCTGGCACAACAATTTCCTGTTTGATCAGTAACTTTCTGACTTAACTCATTAAGAATATCAAATATAGAGTTCTTATTCTATGAAGGATGAACATAATGTTCATGCTGCTGTTGTTTTGTACTATTAGTGTATTCTTAGTTTGGCGTGTTTCTTGGTTCATGTCTTGGATCTTATTACTGTTTTTCTTTACAATTTGTATTTTTGCTGAATGTAACTGGGACCATAGATATCATATAATGATGTGATGATATAATGTGTTTATATCTATGACTGGGACCCTGTGTACATAGTTTCCTTCCACCTCATGTACCACATGCGACGTGAATGACAATAAAGAACCTTGAACCCTTGAATAATTATTAGAGTAACAGTATAGAGGTCTCATTCTCTAAAGGAGGAATATTATTATTGCAATATATATATTTGAACAATATTTGAATTAATATAAACAAACATGATAAGACTGAGTAAGACTAAAATTGGTGAATCTGGTTCACTTGAGTTAATTATAGTTATATATAAAATGAGTATTTTGAGCCAGCTGTTCCTCTGGATTATAAAAAGTTAAAGACAGCTGTTTGCTGACAGATGATCAACGAAGGGATTAATTTTCTTACTGCGACTTTTTTCATCCCACTCTCCGTCATTTAAACTGGTTCAACAGCTAACGGAACGAGTTCCCACTGCATGTCAGGCAGGCTCCCTCTCACTGTTTTAAAGTCTCCTTTCAAAACTCACTTTTATTCCATGGTTTTTGACAACGAGTGGGTTGATTTTAACTTGTCTGTATTCCATAAGGATATTTAGTTCTTATCTTTACCTCTGTGGATCTATGTATTTTATCCTGTGTCCTTTACTTGTTTTATTTCTGCTACAGCACTTTGGTTGGCCTTGCTGCTGTTTTTATGTGCTTTATAAATAAAGTGTTATGGTATGCCCTGTGATGGACTTGCGACCTGTCCAGGGTGTACCCCGCCCTTCGCACATGATTGCCGGACATGGGCACTGGCGACCCCCGTGACCCGAAATGGAAGAAGCGGGTACCCCCAAAACACAAAAATGACCATAACTCTGTCTGTTATACTGTAATAAACACAAAGTTTGGTCGAGTAGTAGCTGAGCCTGAACCCCAACACAGTTTCTGAGTGTTCACTGACTGTAAGAGCTTAAATTTTGCCATAACTCATTTTGAAGTCATCCCTGTGTGCCTGTTAGCAAAATATCTCTTAAACCACTGGACGATTTTTAGTGAAACTTTCTGAATGTACCGACACAAATGATTAACTTTTGGAGTCAATTTAATTCAAGAAGTCTGCCACAAGCAACTGGTCTTAGATAACACAAAAAAAGCTATGAGTCAGTTCTCTTTACAGAAATTCTGCTAAAATTTGGTTTGGTTGTAAATGAAAGTACAAAGTAGTTCCCAACACATATTTAAAGTGCTACACAATTAACTTTATTTTTTGCTCAAAACATAAGCAATAACTGTAGAAATCAACTTTATTTGTCAATTGGCAAATTATTTCATGAAACATGGGATGTATTTTATTAACAGTTTTAGATATTAATCTTAGATTATACATGATCAACTGTTTAACTTTTGAAGTCAGTCCAGTTCAAGATGGCCACTTAAGGTGATGAAAACACCAAACAGACATGGATTTAAAAAAAAATCTTTTATAATATGATCTTTGATCATAGTCACAAATGTTGAATATTTATTTATTTGCATTTTATTTGTCTGTCAGCAGACAAACCCAACCGGCTATGGAGTCTGGGGGCGGAACTATTCTTTCAGCTGCAGAGAAAGGGGACAATAATTACAACGGACCAATATGGCAGGAACGCATTATTTACTAAGTCCGTGTTTGTAAACCTTCATAAGTTTGTGTACGGTACTGTTCCAATAAAATCGTTTAAAAGTTTACCACTTCTGTGAGGAGACGACATACTCAGAGCAGTAAGTTATTTAACCTGAAAACCAAACTAAATACGGCCATATTTGTTATTTTATCTATTTAACTGCTCGATAAAAATAAAACCTGTGTTGACGTTGCTGTGCAGGTCGACACGTAGTTATGTGGGGTGAAATCGACCCGCCAGTGAAAACACTGATACCGTTTGAGATTGAAACCAGTGAAATATCAGTGGACCCTCCGGTGCTTCCTCGGAGATGCGACCTGAGCCGACCCGCTCCCACAGACACCCGGGAGGCTCCGCGAGGAGGAGGAGACACTCCGTCGGTGAGAGCACCAACATAATAACGGAGGTAATGACGTATGTTATTCCACTGACTGGGCTCCTGTCTCCAGGAGGAGGCCGGCTGTGTGAGGGTGATGATAGAGGCCGTAGCGATGAGCGGCAGGCCGGTGAAGAGCCAGCAGGTCGGAGAGGATGAGCTGACCTTCGGGGAGCGCAGGGACGAGCTGCTGCTGCAGTACCGGAGCAGACCACTGGTCTTCCTGGAGAGGTACCATGTAGGTGTCCCCAAAACACACGAGCCAGTACACTTCTGTTTAACATTTACGTAAACTTATGGCGCTTTGCCACTCTCTCAGCTCATCGGTTCTGCACCACACCGTTGGGGGGCCTGCCCACTGTCGGTACCCACTCCGACTCAGTCCAGTTTATGGGACCACCTTGTTTGAGGTTCAAAGCGGACTGCTCTGAGGTGCCGGTTCTTATGTAAGCCGACAGCAGCTGTTGATTGGCGAGCGGAGCTACGTCACTGGATGACTCACCCAGCAAAATGTTAAACTACATCTGAACCTCCTGTTAGTATTTTTATCTAGACTGACCCTGTTTTTTTTATCTGCTCAGAGACGGGATTATAATGAAATTATAACCCAGTTCTGACTGGTTTAAAAGGGACCAGCAACTCTAAAAAGAGTCTCCCAGGGATTCAATATATCCGGCAAGGAATAGTTTATCTTTGCTTGCTGCGTCACACAGAAAAGGCTTTTAAGCACCGTCTTTTTTCTTTCACGTTAAACCAGTTAAGATTTGTTGAGATCACACTTAGTCCCTGCTTCTCATACACGACAGGTTGTGCTCCACTTCTGTGAAGGAGTCTAGGCTCTACACATCTGTAATGCCACAGGACATATGGCCCTTCTGGTTCCTGATCTCGCATTGTGTACTGGAACCGGCCCGCGCTGTAATCTGTAACTTTTTCCTGCCTTGATTTAATACAACTGGTAAAACTGAATTCACGTTTCCTTGATTTATTAATAGTGTGAGTTGTCACTTCTGAGGGAGGTCCGAGTTGGGGGAGAGCGTGAGCTGGAGGTGTACCTGGGTCCGAGGGGAGGCCTGAGGTCCACGGCTATCAACAGCTATAACTGCAGTGACCCGCATCCAGCTCCCGTTGTAACACTCCACTTCCTCATCGTGTTGACAGACGGTGCCACAACAAACGAGCACATTTACAGAAATATATCAGAGATGATGGAGCAGCATGGCCACACCTGGATTGTGCACAGTGCTGATATAAGCTCAAGACACTGAAGTCAGATTATAGGGCGATTAAGACCACAATGGGTGGAGTGGATGAAACGATGATCTGTTACCATCCCGCCCACAGAGCAGGGAAACGGGTCACAGTGGCAAATCTCCACCTGAGAAGAACCGATAAGACGAGAGCTGAGTGGAGTCGCACTTATCAATGAATTTATTGTTCATGCCTCCAAAGAGTGTATTCCACCTGCCATGTTTTAATTAAGAACGTTTTTACACAATTTATTGTGCTCAGAGAATGTTGGGGATGAATTTCAGCTACGATCACACTAGTTTTAACTCGAACGCTGTCAAATGAACTGAGTTTATAGCTAATTCTTTCTCATATCAGCGGGGGCCATCTTGATTAAGACTGACTCCAAAAGTTAATGAGTTGCAGGAGAACATCCAGTGACTACTTCCTGCAAGTTTCAATAAAATACACATAGTGGTTCATTAAAATATTTTGCTAACAGACAGACAGCGTTGACTATAACACCTTATAACCAAGTTTTAAAAACAGATCTGGCACAATTACGTTGTGTTGCAGATGACAGCTACACCATATTTTAGATCAGTATCTGTGAAACTGATTGAGTTATCACCTTTTTTCTGCTGGTTAAGATGGCTCCGCTGTGGCGGCCATCTTGACTGGGGTTGACTTTAGAAGATAAACAGATTTAGAGCCCAACCTACTACCGGTAATTACTTGTTTTTTCATTCTTGAAAAATGATTGTCCTTTTGTCAACAGGCAACAAAAATAAGTATCGTCTGGTTTAGTTCAGAGTCATTTTGTTTGTTTTATGTCACTATTCTCATTAGAATTGTAGTATTAGTACTTTTCAAATCTACTTTAAGCCACAGCTAAATTATTTTTCTATTATTCCACCAACAGACACTATCGGTAGAGGACATTTTGTTTTAAATATAAATAAAACAACAGTCCAAAAACCTCAAAGATGGGATTTGTCAGATTTGCTGAAAACAGTACGAGCCAAAAGAGATATTAATCATTGAATTCACAACATTATATCGATCAGGGTTAAAAACAAATCAAAGTCTTGACTCATTTCATAAAGAAGCACCCTGCAGTAATCAAGCCTAGAGGTTATAAACCATGGATTACTGTCTCAATGTTTCTTTTGGACAATAAGGGCTTCAATGTAGACAGTTTTCTCCACTGAAAAAAGCAGGACTTGACAGTTGTGTTTACATGACTAGTTTTATGGAAGGATCCATTTTTACTCCCAGATTTGTGACATTTTTCTCAAAAGGGACAAGGGAGGAAAGGTCAGTGCAGGAGTCCCTGCTGATGCCATTTGGTGGAAACATAACTTCTGCCTTCTTCTCAATGAAATTTAAATCCATCCAACTCCTGATGTCTACCAGACAGTCAACAAAAGGTTGGACAGAGTGCGCACCCGTGTGCCTCAGAGGGCAGTAAATTTGGCGATCATCTGCATTGAAATAAAAAGGGATACCATGTTTGTGAAAATAGCACCTAGTAGCAGCATGTATAAAGAAAGAAGAAGGGATCCAATAATGGAACCCTGTGGTACCCCCACCAGAGAGCTGCCATGGTTGAAATAAAATCCTTGATGCTGACACAAAAGCTTCTAATTATCCTGTCATGTTCTCTTCCCTTTTCTGTCCTCAGGCTCACCTGAAACCCGAGCACCTCCCTGCATTTGCCCATGTCAGCTCAGACCCGAGGGCCCAACACTACAGCCATGTGATTCAGACACGAGCGTCCGGCTGCATCAGCAGGACCAGAGTCAGAAACCAACGCTACGCTGCCCTCAGGGCTCTGCAGAAGGGTGGGCGTTTACTGTTTCAGTAGCTACCACTGGTGCAACATGATTCCTGTTAAATAACACTCATCATAAACATAAAAGTCTTTCTTTATTTATGTATTATGCTTTAATTATTCACCTTTTGCTTGTGTCTATGTGGTCATGTGTATATGTAGCTCATGAGCCACTGGACAAATTTATTGAAACTTTAATGTGAATCTACTTTTTGACTCATCTTGATTCAAGATGGCCGCCACAGCCAACTGATCTTTAACAAAAGAGAATAAATAAAAGTTTCTGACCTGAAATTTGTAGTAGTGACTGATCCCCAACACATATTCTGAGCTGGTAACTATTTGAATTAAACTCTGTTGGTGAAATATCTCCTATTTCTGTTGTAGGTGGTCAGTATTTCAGTGAGGAGCAGATGCGAATGAGGGAGCCTCTGCTGTATGAACAATACATCGGTCAGTACCTGACTGACGAGGAGGTGAGTTTCACTCACTGAACGTTTCTTTTATGGAAATGAATGAAAATAATAATTTAGTTTGTGTTTTTTTTTTTTATTCATTCAGGTGCTGGAGCGCTCGCACGAGGCCATGTCAGGTGGTGCAGAGGAGGGATCAGGGGGCAGCACAGCGGGGCTTGCCCACCTCCTCTTGAATTCCTACCAGGAGCGGCTCATCCAGAACCGCCTGCAGGAGGAGCAGGAGAGAGAGGATGCTGCTCAGGAGGAGGAGGAGGAGGACGAGGAAGATGACGGTGAGGAGGCTTAAGTTGGTAGGAAACTGAACGCAGAGCTGTTGTGATCTGCTGCTGCGTCACCTCCACCGCTGTGCTCTCGTCACGCAGCCGTCAGAGCTCAGCAGAAAGAACGGGAGCTGACGTCGGAGGAGAAGGCTCTGCTCCGAGAGGAGTTCATCAGTCAGATGCACCAACGCTTCTTAGACGGAAAAGACAAAGACTTCAACTACAGGTCAGCAGCAACGTCGCAAAGCAAACAGCAGCTGATTAAAAGCTGTGTCAGCAGAAATAGGCTGGCATGGATCAAACATCTGGTGTACCCATTTCAAGTCTGACAACATCTGGCTGATAAATACAACATGCTTTTATTTTCAACTAACTTAATTTTTTTGTTTGTTCTTAAAATAACAGGAATTCAACATTTGTAGTCAAGAACCTGACAGTTAAGTTGGACAATATAAAAATTAAGACAAAACTCTTTGATTTTATGTTTCATTTAATCCACGTGACTGCCTGCCGCTCGGGGGGGGTCACTGTTTCACAGGGACCATTATTCCTGGTGCGCAACATGCTTGTGATGCATTATGTGCAGAGGAAAAATGGAAAATAACTTGAAGAAAAATATTAAAAAGGCCCAAAATTTGGGGATTATTTTAATCTGAAGAGAACCAAAAAAAAAAAAAAAAACTGTACAGTAAATCTGTGTTAGGTTACATGATAAGATGGTACGTTTTATTTATTTTATACAAAAACTTTGTAGAAATAGTAATCTGGTTCATCACTGACTGAAGTGGAATTCCTCAGCCTTTAGAATGAGATGGACAAGCAGGTGGGACTTCCTGAATCATCCCAGTACAGTTACAAAAATATCAAACTGACAAGAACTGGGTCTTGGATCAGCACGCAACCCCGAACACCAGGAATGGTTTAAATAGTTTATTAGTAAACAGCTGCTGGTGGAGGTCCGAGTCCAATGGGGAGTCCAATCTGTTGAGATAGGTTAGTGAACTGGTTTTGGCTGTGGAGGTTCTGTGGCAATCATCAACCTTCTCAGTCTGCAGAAAGAGACACTCCTGTTGAGGATGATGTCACTCACAGCGAGTGAGCAGCATCAGAGGAGCAGACTGGTGCTGTACTTGGTACGTGGGGTGCAAATCCAAAGGTGAGGTCCGGTACTAGAAGCAGGGGTCATACACAGTAGGTCAGAGTAGTGATGGCAGTATAAAACAAAAGCTTCAATACTTGTTTCGAACCCTGACGTGCAATTACATCGGAACACTGCTTCGGAGCTTGTTCTGGTGCTGAAGAAGTCACGTGACTTGTGACGTCCGAAACACAAACGAATCGCTTGACTGGTTCGCGTTCCAATCAGCTGATTCTCTGGCACTGCTCACCACTATAAAATCGTTATGAGAAGTGCGCAGTGTGTTGGGAGAGTGGGTGCGTTTTTGCTGTTGTTGTTGAGATTATGATTCATGATGGAGCCAGCCAGGGAGAAAAGTCGTTCCAACATGTGGGAGCACTTCAGTCTTCTCGCTCGTGATAAGGTGGTTCTGGCATTTCAATATGTCAGAAAGTAATAGTGAAGTCCAGCAGTCCACGTGTGTCGAACTCAAACCTTGTAAACATTTTTTCCTGGCCCTCAAGATGAAATTTTAAATACAAGATATTTTTTTATCACTTTTTATTTTGCTTTAAAAACTTCATTTAGTGCAGACTTCTCTTGACACCTTGAAGCCCAAAAGATTTACTTTTTCACACATCTTTAATTTTGACGTGAACAAGGGGAACAGTGAACGTCAAAATGAGACCGATCAAACTCTTGAGGAACCTGCAATCAAGGAAGAACGTCAGGTTTTTGACTTGGAGTTTATATATTTATTGAAACTGGCCTCTGGTTTGAACCATGCATTTTGCCCCTTATAGCTGAGTTTGACACCCCAATAACATTACAGTAAAATTATGTTTATGATTTTTGTCATCATAAAGTTGTATGGACTCAAATTTTATTTTGACATGACAGGACAGATCCACTGCTGGACAGATCAGAACACCCACTGGTGTACTGTCTGAACCATCAAAATGTGTATCCACACTTGTTCACACTGGTGAAACATTTTTAATGCATGCCAGCATCATATGTTCCTTGCGAGAGGTTGTGAGCGAAAAAAAGAAACTGGCTAAGTTGTAAAACTGCAGAAAACCTGATGTTCCTCAATAAAACTTTGATAGTTCCCAATCTTTGCACTGTTTTCCACAGGGATTCTGGATTTCTCGTTGTCATTTCATTATTTCTAACAATGATAAAGGCCCCGACTCTGTCACACCAATATCATGCACAGCAATGCACATTCAATCTTTATTTGAAAATAGAATGTGAAAACATCAACTTTTAAAACCAGATAGTCCAAGTGAGATCATAGAAAGTTGCTACACAACTGAAACGGTTCTCTACCAGAGTAAAGCAGCTTCTTTCACACTCTTCATTAAAGTTCTTTGGGTGCGTGCAATAAAATCAGATCGCCTGATTTAACTGCAGCGTTGCAGATGGCCAGGAGAGGTCACTGTAACTGAAGCTTCAAACAATGAACCACTTTTTGAAACATTTGTCCCTAGTGGTTCGGTGCTTCATAAAAGCTTCATTTGCCCATCACTAGGTCAGAGAGCAGAAGCCGGAGCCAAATCGTGATCCGAGAGTCGTGGTCGAAGAGAAGGAAGGCAGAGTTGGTACCATAGTCAGAGTGCAGAATCCAAATCCAGAGAGGGGCAGGCAAGGCGAATAATCCGTGGTTCAGGCGTGGGGTCAAAACAAGGCAAAGATACAAGGCTGTGGAAGGAGCACTGGACATTACTGGCTGAGAGTTTTTGATAATCTGGCACTGAATGAGAGTTGAGCTTATGCAGGCAGTCAAATCACAAAGTTTGTTAGTTCAGGTTTAAGTAATTGTCAAAGAATAAAAAACAGATACCTGTCATAAACATCATGACATCTCATCTGTGGACCAAAGAAGGCAAGTTCTAGGGGTTTTACTTCCTGTTTGTTTGTTTGTTTTGTAAAGAGAAAAAAAGATTTCTAAATCGTGAACAATAACTGCCCTAATGTTTCATGGTGTGCTGCAGGTGTGACAGTGGAAAGTTGATGTGCACCTTTATTGTAAACATATATTCAGGGCTTCTTGGACAAAATAGGTGGTTCTGAACTACTTCTGTAGCTTACATACATCTGAATACTCAGTTAATCAGTGGATTATTCTACGGAGTACCAGATTACCAAAATACAACTCTCTATTCATCCTCCCATCCTCATACGCTTGTTCCAAAGTCGGGTTGTGGGGCAGCAGCTTGAGCAGGGAGGCCCAAACATCTTGCCAGCTCTTCTGGGAGGACTCCAAGGTGTTCCCGGGCCAACCGAGAGACAAAGTCTCTCCAGCGTGTCCTGGATCTTCCCCGGGGTCTCCTCCCAGTCAGACATGCCTGAAGCATCTCCCTAGGGAGGTGCCCAGGGAGTATCCTTATCAGATGCCCGAACCACCTCAAGTGGCTCCTCTTGATGTGGAGGAGAGTCCAGCTACCATGCAGAGAAAACTCATTTCAACTGCCTGTATTCATGATCTCATTATTTTATTCACTACCCAGAGATGGTGGCCTTAGGTGAAGGTAGGAACGTAGACCGACCGGCAAACAGAGAGCTTTTCCTTACAGCTCAGCTCCCTCTTCATCACAACGGACCAGCACAGAGTCCACAATACTGTGGAAACTACATGTCTGTCAATCTCACACTCCATTCTTCCCTCACTAGTGAACAAAGCTAGAGATACTTGAACTCCTCCACTTGAGGCAGAACCTCATCCTCGACCTGAAGAGAACAGTCCACCCTGTTCCGACTGAGGACCATGGCCTCAGATTTGGAGGTGCTGATTCTCATCCCAGCTGCTTCACACTCGACTGTGAACCACTCCAGTGAGAGCTGGAGATCACGACACGATGACACCAGCAGGACCACATCATCTGCAAAGAGCAGAGATGGGATCCTGAGGCCACCGAACCTGAACCCCCCCTGGCTGCACCGAGAAATTTTGTCCATAAAAGTTATGAACAGAATCAGTGACAATGGACAGCCCTGGGTGAGTTCAACTCCCACCCTGAAGGGGTCTGACTTACTACCGGCAATGAGAACCAAACTCTCACACTGCTTGTATAGGGACTGAACAGCCCATAGCACCCCCCATCCCATACTCAGACTGTACTGAGGAACATTGTTGAAGGCTTTCTTCAAGTCCACAAAACACATCGACTGGATGGGCAAACTCCCATGACCCCTCGAGGACTCTCGTGAGGGTAAAGAGCTGGTCCAGTGTTCCACGGCCAAGATGGAACATTGTTCCTCCTGAATTCAAGGTTCATCCATCAGTTGGACTCGCTTGTCCAGTATCCCTGAATAATCCTAACCGGGGGGGTAAGGAGAGTGATGCTCCTGAAATTGGAGCACCCTTTGCTCCCCCTTTTTGAAGAGGGGAACCGCCAACCTGCTGAGTGTTTGAATCATTAACTCTGAAAGGACTGAATGAACTCCGTGTTTTTATATATTCTGTTTGAAAACACCTGCTGCAGAGTCTGAAGTGTTGCTCGTGTTTGTGTGACAGTGAGGTGGACAACAACCCAGACTATGACAACTTGGACATCGTCAGCAGAGACGCAGAGGATAAATACTTTGATGAAGATGAGGAAGAGGAAGAGGATGACCTGGAAAACAATGAAGAAGAGGAGATGATAGGATAGTGTTGATATTAGTAACATGTCTGTTAATATTGTGTAAATACAAATATACAAAATCAAATTGTGTTGTCAGTTGTTTTTACATGTGACTGCAAACCTGTAAAAAGTTGTCTACAAGCTGTACTTTATTAAACTCGTTAAAACAAAAGCTAAAAAAAAATATACGAATTTATTAAACCAAATTAAAAGAAAATCAGAAAGTGGAGGTAAAAAAGGAACTAACAGAAATGCAATATTTTGTAATATGGGTCAAAAAATATTTGTAATAGGCTTCTAGAGTCTAACCCCCCCCCCCCCTCCCAAACACACACACACAACCTTAAGGACCGTTAAATTGTATTAAAGAGACTGGGAGTTTATATATATGGTAATGGTTGTTTTGTCTCTGTGATGGACGTGTGTCCCACCTGTCCAGGGTGGACCACACACAGTCTGCTGAAGACAGGGACTGACTGTCCTGCGACCAAAACAGGAAAAAGCAGGAGAAGAAAATGACTGGATAGGTATAATACAAAATTAAAATATAAAATTTGAATAATTCTGTCCCATTTCTTCCCATGGTGTGTTATTTATGACGCAACTAATGTGTTTGTCATTTGAACACAACTATTGTGTCACTCAACACAAATGTGTGTCAAAAAATGTGTTATTTTGACACAAATACTTATAAAATGTGTTTTCATAGATTACGTAAAAAAAAAACACATTTGAGGATATTAGAGATACTTTTATTACAGTTACTATTATTTTTACAATACTTCACAACAATAAAGCTGGAGCAGCTGCAATATATAGCTCAAATATAAAAAAAAAAGTTGAAATAGAAATTCAAATTACTAAGTCAAGCTAACAAAATACCCATTTTTCTAAGGTTATACAACACACCTTAAAAAACATACTGCCTGTATATTTGTTGTAACATTCAGTGAACATGGATGAAAAACATGGCAATGAAATTCATAAAAGAGATCATGAAAAAGAACCCCTGCCCCTTCCAACGTGCATGAGTTTTTCAAATGGCAACATGCATTTACAATCCAATAGTCATCAACCAAGCTACAAGATCTTTATATATATATATATATAACACAACTTTATAATGAAAGTGTGTGCAATAGAATCGTATAGAAATCATTACTAAAAAAATAAAATAAAAATTCAATTCCATTTAGGGGCCCCCCTAGTAGCCACGGGGCCCTAAGCAGCCGCTTATGATGCTTATACCGCAGGCTGCTCTGATTAGAGCACTCCATTATTCAAAAAAATAGTAAAGCCATTAAGGCAACTGATATGTGTACTGTATTTTTCGGATTATAAAGCGCAATATCAATGAAGGGGTCTGTTTTCATACATACGGTGCACCAGATTATAAGGCGCATTAAGCGAAATTAAACAGTCAGATATCCATCCATCCATTATCTTTACCCGCTTATTCCGTTTTGGGTCACGGGGGTCGCCGGTGCTCAGGTCCAGCAATCACCGTGTGAGGGGCGGGGTACACCCTGGACAGGTCTCCAGTCCATCACAGGGCCACATAGAGACAAACAAAACAAACAACCATTCACTCTCTCACTCACACCTAGGGACAATTTAGAGTTACCAATCAGCCTAACATGCATGTTTTTGGTCTGTGGGAGAAAACCGGAGTACCCGGAGAAAACCCACGCATGCACGAAGAGAACATGAAAACTCCACCCAGAAAGGCCCCCGGACCGGGATTTGAACCAGGGACCTGCTTACAATATTGTGTAAACCTATGCAATGTATTGACTCAAGACAACCAGCAGAGGGTGCTGTAGGCGATTAATCTGTCTGTAAAGAAGACAAGTTTGTTGAAGTCTCAATAGTTGTTTTTTTGAGAAGGATCTAACCTGGAAGTTCAAGACAGAATGGAAGGACAGACTACAGTCATCTGGGAAACGCAGACTGCAGCTGTATGAGACCTAAATAGGCCAGTAAAGCCAGAGGGATTCCTTACTCAAGAGTCTGAAAAGATGAACCTGTTTGATGCATCTTTACTACACAGAGGCAGAAAATCTGATTATTGGGTTCAGTCACTTTTAAGAAGGATTTTCCACAGAGTATTTTTTATTTGCATGTCAAGTTTGTAAAAAAAAAAAAAAAGAAGAGTGGAATTATTAAAAATGTTCAGTTTTTTTTTTTACATTTTCCCTTTTCTTCAGGAGAAGTTCATGTTACAGTTGCCTTCAAGTTTCTGGTGTTAATGTGTTTCAAACACAATGATTAATGCAGTGCTAGCTTCTATGATTTATGCAAAAATTGTTTATGTAAACTTGAGCACAATTTCTGAGCATGTTCTGGTGACTACATGTCACTGTTTAAGTTTAATTGTTTTGTATTAATAAACAGCATATGGTTATTTCAGTTGCAAGATCACGTAAATGTTTATTTATGTATTTATATAAAATAAAATGACTATTTACTGTCCCCCCCCCCCCCCCCAAAAAAAAAAATTATTATTATTATTTTTTTAAATAAATAAATAAAAATAAATCCTCAGTCAATCAACATCAGATGTTGGTCAAACTTTTTGGGCAACATCTGGGGGTCTTCTAGAGTCAACCTGAAGTGAGAGTGGTTCGTGAAATCATGCAGTTATCCAGCAACAAAGTCAGCAACTTTTGACTTCTACAATGAACTATGTTCAACTTTGGAGGTGATTTATTTTAAAAGTCAACATCAGATGTTGGTCAAACTTATTGGGCAACATCTACATGTCTTCTACAGTCAACCTGAAGCGAGAGTGGTTCCTGACATGGCAGAAAGACATTGATGTAATTAAGAGCTTTTATTTTTATTTTTTTTCATATTTTTCAGCTTTTATTTATTTATGTTTCTGCTAATAACAACTTTCATTTATTTGTTTTTCATATTTTTCAGTTATACGCAACTTTTAATTATTTATTTTTCAAATATTAAGAACTTTTTTTTCCAGCTTTTATTTTGAAAAGCAACGCTCAGTGTTCGCCGCAGCATTACCGTAGTACATGTTGTAAACGTGCACAATTAAGCCAGTGAGGGCTGCCGGAGCCGAGTGGAGGCTCACTTTAAGATATCTTTAATTATATTTTGACTAGTCAAAATACTTAGTTGCGACATCTCTAATTACATTTGACCAGTATAAATAACGTCAGATTTACTATTGAGTTGTTTGGAGGCAAGATTTCTAAATACGGGAGATTCCAGTTTTTACGGGATGGTCGGCAACTCTGGTCTAAACTAAATATGGGCCTATATATACTGTTACTGTGTTCCTTCCTCCTCCCCCGAATGTAATTTAGACTGAGCGTCGCGTCAGTCATGAATGACTTCAAAGGGCAGCGTCACGTCAGTCATGCACGACTTCAAAGGGCAGCGTCACGTCAGTCATGCA